TACGTGTACACATATGCATGTCTATATGCATGTACGCGGTCGTGGCCACAGAGGGGGGAGGCCAGAAACGCGGTGACGGGATCGCGAGTGCCGAAAGACTTGGGTTGGAAACGGCATGGAGGACACGGCAGCATGTGGCAGCACGGCGACCTGGGCCTCCGCCTGGACCCACAGGCGCCGCGCCACCCCCCGGGGAGGCGGTATCGAGAGGGGTGCGTCCGCACGGCCCCCTGGGGGGGAGGAGGAGGAGGAGGAGGAGGAGGAGGAGGAGGAGGAGGAGGAGGAGGAGGAGGAAGAGGAGGAGGAACCCCCTCCGCTTCAAGCGACCAGCTGTCAGTGCGAACGCGGGCAACTGGGGGGCGGAACGCCGCCTGCAGAGCCCACACTTGCACCATCCCAGGGTTGGCCAACAGCACGGCGGCGGTTCGAAGACGCGTCCTGCGGAGGATCGGGGCCCGCCCTGTTGGATGCCCGTGCTGGGGGCCTCCCTGGCGCCTCTCGATCCGTGCATCGGTGCTGCGTCGAACGCCCGCCGACCTGAGCCGAACTTGTGTCGAACTAGAGTCGATGCAGATCCGTTAGGTGGCCTCAAGGGAAGTCCCCAAAAACGAGCATCTTCGGTGGCAACGCGTGGGAGCATCCCATACCATCTTGATGGCTCTGGCGAATCGACGCTGACCGACGCTAATCGACGCTCATCAACACTGGTCGACGCTGATCGACGCTAAGTCGACGCTGATCGACGCTAGATCGCCGCTCTCTCCTCGCATACCAGACGCTCGCGCACGCGAGTACGCTCCAGAGACGGCATGTCGAGGATACACAAAAGGCTCCCAGGATCAGCTCCCAAACGACCAGAGCCCTGGATCGCATGGTTCTGCGTCATTTTTCGCACCATATTGGTATGTGAGGGTCCCGGGGGCCCGAAATGGAGCGAAAACGCCCGCAGTGAGGAAAATTCCAACGCCAGGATCTCAGGAACAGGCGACGCGAGCGTGCAGAGGCAGGACGACGTCGACGACGAACTGCAGGCGGCGTGCGACGACGACGCCGCTGACGACCGCGGCGGCGGGCGACGGCGGGCGACAGTGGCCCCCGGGAAACGTCCCCCTACAGAGGGATTTAAGGAAAAATTGAAATACCCTGAAAATACTGAAAAGATGCCCGAAAATAATCCAAAAATGGTCCCCAGGCTATTTCCCAACCAATCCTGTGGTGTTGGGCCCTCGTTTTGCAAAGACGTCGCCCCACGTGTTTCTCCTCCTCCTCCTCCTCCTCCTCCTCCTCCTCCTCCTCCTCCTCCTCCTCCTCCTCCTCCTCCTCTTCCTCCTCCTCCTCCTCCTCCTCCTCCTCCTCCTCCTCCTCCTCCTCTTTTCCTCCTCCCATCCCTCCTCCTTTTTCCATGCGTTTCACCCACCCACTGCAGCGCTTCGTGGCCCCATGGGGAGCTCCACCGACGCCCCCAGTGGGACCGCCCGCATGCGTCCCCCACACCCAATGTGGCATTTTCACCCACCCAGCACAGCGCTTCGTGGCTCCATACGGAGCTCCACCGAAGCCCCCAGTGGGACCGCCCGCATGCGTCCCCCGCACCCAACTTGGCATTTTCACCGACCCAGTACAGCGCTTCGTGGCCCAATAGGGAGCCCCACCGAAGCCCCCAGTGGGACCGCCAGCATGCGTCCCCCACACCCAGCTTGGCATTGTCACCCACCCAACACAGCGCTTCGTGGCCCCGTGGGGAGCTCCACCGAAGCCCCCAGTGGGACCACCCGCATGCGTCCCCCACACCCAATTTGGCACTGTCACCCACCCAGTACAGCGGCCCCATAGGGAGCCCCACCGAACCCCCAGTGGGACCGCCCGCATGCGCCCCCCAAGCCCAACTTGGCATGTTCACCCATCCAGCACAGAGCTTCGTGACCCCATAGGGAGCTCCACCGAAGCCCCCAGTGGAACCGCCCACATACGTCCCCCACATCCAATTTGGCACGTCACCCACCCAGTGCAGCGTTGTGTGGCCCCATAGGGAGCTCCACTGAAGCCCCCAGTGGGACCGCCTGCATGCGCCCCCCACACCCAACTTGGCATTGTCACCCACCCAGCACAACGTTTCGTGAAGCCCCCAGTGGGACCGCCCGCATGCGTCCCCCACACCCAGCTTGGCATTGCCACCCACCCAACACAGCGCTTCGTGGCCCAATAGGGAGCCCCACCGAAGCCCCCAGTGGGACCGCCAGCATGCGTCCCCCACGCCCAACTTGGCATGTTCACCCACCCAATACAGCGCTTCGTGACCCCATAGGGAGCTCCACCGAAGCCCCCGGTGGGACCGCCCGCATGCGCCCCCCACGCCCAACTTGGTATTTTCACCGACCCAGTACAGCGCTTCGTGGCCCAATAGGGAGCCCCACCGAAGCCCCCAGTGGGACCGTCCGCATGCGTCCCCCACACCCGATTTGGCATTGTCACCCACCCAGTACAGCGCCCCGTGGCCGCA